AAAGAGAAAGATCTTAGAAGCGAGACGAAGCAGAAATGGCCAGAGATGAAGATAAAGTCTGAAGAGTCTATCACCTTAAATTCTGTAACACCTATTAACAGGTTATAGGGTCTTTTCACTAACCAAGGTAGCTCATGATATTGTTACAATGAAGTCCACTCAGAGGAAAAAATTAGTATATCTTTAGTCAAACTTTATCAAGTGACTGGAAGAGGTCCATCTGAACATAAGTGATCCAAAATGAAGCTGAGTGAGTGTTAAAATCACATTGCTTCTCTTGATTAGCACAGAAGCCAGGGAAGGACACAGGCGCTGATGAGATTTCCCTCCATGCAGAGTGTGAACACTCCTCTGGGGCAGTCCACTGTGAACAGACCACAGCTTCACCCACTAGCCAGGCACAGCTCACCCTCCAAACCTAAAGGTTTTGCTTTGAACTACTAGCATAGTGACTCAGAGATATTTACTCATGGGGAGATGAATTAGTTATTATATAATAAATTCAGTTTATTTATTAGACAAAAGTCTTTAAAAACATAGCCAAAACCAGGAAAGGGAACAAAATAAACAAGAAAAAAGCCAACCCAGGCCAAGTTATTGCTGTAAAGTTGTTCCGATTCACAGGAACGCTCCAGGACAGACTAGAACTTCCAGGAATTGTTTCCAAGACTGGCATTCTGGAAGCCATATCTTTCTACTTCAGAGGAGCTAGTTGGTTTGAAATGAGCTTTTGAGTTACAGCTTATCACTTTACCCACCGTGCCACCAGGTTCCTCAGAAAGCCTTACGGAAGCAGAAAAGTTATGCAAATGAGGGTCACAGGTCAGGTATTTGGTGACAGAGGATGGTGGAGACTGAAGAAAAACTGGACAGTCCATTACCTAGACCAGGGGCGAAGCAAAGCAAGTAACATAGACAGAGTTGCTGAACGCCAAGCAAATGCAAGCAGAGCAGATGGAGTTGGATCTGATGTTTCAAATGTTGCCAGACTAAAGGGTTTTTTTAAAAAAGTGATGTTTAAAAATTATACAATACAATTACTCAAATAAAACAGGCCTATTGATCAAACCTGAGCCCTATCTATTTTCAATTTCTGGTCCTCGGAGTAAATAGTTCTTCAATTGAATGAGTAGTTTCTTAGAGGTAGCATTTTATTCAAACAAGTAAACACATTTTCTTCTATTATTTGCTGGTGATTTAATGTCAAAGGTCCCAAACTACAGGGATAGGGCAAGGAAGGAAATAGAATGAAAATAAAAATACACCCTTTTAACATATACAAATTTGTTACTGAGATATGCTCTAGTAAATAAAGTATTTTTATATCTTAGAGGAAATAAATTTTTAAAAAATATATATATTATCAAGTTTTTGCTTAAAATATAATTTCTGTGGCTTTAAACATTCCATGTCCAAGTTAGCAGCATCGTTAAAAAACAAAACAATGAGATTTTTAAAAAGTTTGTTTTAATTTTAACCTTACATTTGAAAATTTAAGGGTTAAAGTGTATTCCACTACTCTGTAACAAGATAGAATAAACCTTTCACTTCAGTTCTATAAATGAATGTCGATTCATTTGAACAAAATGATCTCCTTTTGCTGAGATTTTTGGGTTATTGTGCTTGATGACTACTATATTTCATTATGCCTAAATGCATAGTTTGTAACATTTCAGCAGCTCTGAAAGTAGGCTGTATCTTTAAATTGATGAGGTCTCTCACAATAACTTGGGAGCTCTGGTGGCTTAGTGGTAATGGGTAACAACTTACCCAAAGGTAAGTTGTTCGAATCCAGTGGCTCTGGGCGGTTTACTGCCTCTGAGAACCTGCTGAAGGGTCTGCTATGGGTTGGTTCCAACTTGATGGCAAACAACACAATATCTAGCTGTAGGAGTGGACAAGTCGGAGCCACTCATACAGTTAGGACTCTGTGGCACTAAGTGTATATTAGATTCATGAAGACGTAGCTTTCTCAAAATCTCTTTAAAAAGTGAGGAAGCCAAGGCAGTAAAATGCAACAGATCTGTGAGCCCAAAATTATTTAAAAACAAAACAAGTAATCACACAGCATTAAAGCAGAAATTTATTGTGTAAGCTTACAGGCACTAAAACGAAATACAGCAGGTGAGGCAAGACGGCTTTAGTGAAGCAAATTTTCATCAGGGCAACAATGCTTATTCACTTTATCACTGCAGTGTTTGACAAGGACCAGGTAGATGAAGCTGTGTGACAAATTTTAATCAAGAGACATGCAGAATAATGCTTACTGCAGACCAAGCCAGGCAACTTAGGGGAGAAGACAGTCATTGATTCCAACAACAGACGAAGGTCTTTGAAAGCAAAGACTATGATTCAAAACGCTAGACAGAGTTTACAGTGAAGTGTGTTTTACTTTCCTAAGGAGCACTTTTTTCCCTCTAAGGAGCATTTTAAAAGCCGTTTTTCATATGTACTTCTATGTTTTCACTGTATTTTCACCTAATCATAGCTAATAAATTCAAGGTGGGGATGGGGAACTGGAACCTTGGTGGGACTGGTAATAGAAAAGGAATCGCTCTCTTAATCCAGCCGTACTGCATGTGTCCTAGCCTCTACTCCATCTCCTTTTCCACCAAGGCCTGCTACTTTATCTAGGAATCTGCCATTTTAAAAACTATAATACCTAAAATTGAAAGCGTTTTAGAATTGGTTGAAATATGGAAAAGGTAGTTAGTATAGTTCTGCATGCTTGCCCTTATCATTCTAAATTTATCCTAATGTCTTTTACTGGACTTCAAGCTGAAATGTTTGGCCTTGAAGTCTACCTTCTAGTGGTACAGTGTTAAGGAACTGCACTACATGGTTCAAATCCACCATCTGCTCCATGGGAGCAATCTTTTCCCATGCAGTTTACTCTGAAAACTCACTGGCGGGTCAGCTATCAGTTCTGATTAGACAGTACACAACAACACTGTAAGCTCTGTGAGGTTCGACTGACATCCGGATCATTCTCTTATCACTTGACACCTGGGACGATCTGTAAAATGTCTGCTGTCTGAATGGAAGTGAATGGGATGGATTCTGAGGAAGCACATTTCTCCTCAGTAGCACATTCCATCAGAAGCCAAGGAATTGGTTCAAATAATTGTTATTTTAATTTCATTCTCTTTTCTATTCAGGGTTCACTTACCCCTCTTCATGTTGATGTAAAAGTAACTTTTCACTCCCTTCGGAATGTAACTTTCTGACCTTTCTCACTGTATGCAGCCGCCTATGTAGGCGGGATATGCTTTACCAGCATTCTTTTTTTTTCTTTTTCTTTTTTTTCTATAATTGTATTTTATTAATTTTCATAAACATTTACAGAGATTTTGGGCTTCCACTCATTCATTGTTGCACTATTCTCTCTACCCTCCTCCCAGTTTGTCCTTGTCCAAATGCCACAGTGCTTGTCAAAGCCAGTTTACCAGCATTCTGATCCACTCCTAAAAGAGTCTGGCAGCCCAAGAGGAGCAGGTGCAAGAAGCCTGGGGTGGTGCCCAAAGGCAGCAAAAGGACCCTTGTCTAACCTCATGTGACCTCTGCATCCTCATCCTGGTCCCTGTCCAGGGAGAATCAAGGATCCTCTTAGTCATAGATGGAAGCCTTCTTGGAGTTAGAAAAATGGAATGTCGATAATTCTGCATTACTAGCAGATGGGACTATGGAATACATGATAGATGGGTCTGAGGGGAAAAGATGGGCACTCAATCTCCCATGTGATTCACAGTCTTCCAAAAACTCCTGGAGGGTCAGCGACTCAAGTGAGTATTATTTGAATATAATAATAAAATGACTGAACATTTTGTGTAATACTGTACCTAAATTCCTCATCCCATCTCCTGAAATGACACCAAAGTAAAATATTTTTATATGTCCATGTTTACCAGTTAAGTAGCAAGGAATAGGCCTGTTCTACATCTTAGCAGAAATAATGACTCAAAGTAAATAGTAAATCTGAAATACTAACATGTTTTAAAACTCCATTCATGAATGACCAAGCTAACCTGAAGTTTACCATTTGCCTGACTGCTTAAAAAGGAAGCATATAAATGTCATTATAAGGAGTCTTTTCAACTACTAAAAAGAGCTCACTGTAAACTTTTTGGAAGCATTTATAGTTATAAATGACTGGTATTCTTACTTCTTCCTTACCGTGGGCTCCTCTGGGTGAAAGCTGTGTGTGGATGGGCTAGTGTTACTCTGAATATGTTCTTGTAGGGTACATATTAGTAGGTGATATTTGTTGAGTGGCATAAAAGGCTAAGTGCGAAAGATGGGAGGTCTAAACTCACTAAGAGGTGTCTCAGAACAAAGGCCCGACATTCTACTTCTGAAAGGCCCTTGACATTGAACTGAATTTCACCATCTGATCTAACTCTTCCTAGCTGTTTCTCCTAGCCATGTCATTCACCTTCTCAGGTTATGTGATATTGAATTGGAGCAAACTCATAGTTAACCCTCCAGTGGATTTTCAGAGGCAGTTAATGGCAAGACAGGAGACTGCCCGTCCTTCTAACTGAAGTAGCTGGTGGATCCAAACCAGGTACCTTTGGTTTGCCAGTTCAACTCCTACCAGTAGGCCATTAGGTAGTTAACTTATGTAATGAGTCTAACCTAGAGCAAGTGTTCAATAAACATTAACTGTTCATATTGTTACAGTAGTTATAAAGATGTGGGAGGTTTGGTGGCCTAGTGGTAGGGTGCTGCGCTGGCAACTCAAAGCTATGCGGTTCAAATACATCAGTTGCTTCACTGGAAAAAAGGTTGGCTAACCTTGCCTCTTCTAATTAACTGCTTCTGGAAAGGACCTGGTGGGTCTGCTTCAGGCCAGTTCCCACTCAACGGCACACAACAAGAAGTTACATAGATGTGTTTAGAAATAATCCTGGATTTAGGATAGCTCAGCTCTGGGGAGGTAGTGACAGTGCCCGTGCTGAAGTCCTCGGCACAAGAGGGGCCACATTCATCCCGGGGCTCCATCACCACTTGTCCCTGCTCCTACTTACAGGTTTCAGGTAGGCCACGTTGCTGTGCCGGATGTCATTGAGAAGCTGGTCTCTGGGGGTGATCTCCACCAATGGGGGTGGCCTGTTCCTGGGCACCGGCCTGAGCGTCTTGATCACGTCCTTGAGGTTGGTCTTCTCGGGCGAGTCTCCGGCGTTGGGCAACCAAGACTTGCGCGGCACGCGCTTCAGCTTCACCCCACGAAGCCCGTCGGGGTCAGCGCTGTTCTGCTGGGTCAGTGAGGGCTTCTTGGAGGTGCCTTGGGGGGTGGGAGGCCCAGGCGGCTTCTGGAGGAGCGCCTGAGTTCGGGGGTCCGGCGTGGTTCCCCCTAGCCTGTCCCACATACCGGGCGGCAGCTGGAGGAGCGCCTGCAGGCGGGGGTCCGGAACAGGTCCCCCCAGTTTTTCCCACATGCCAGGTGGCAGCCCCAGACCGCTCTCCAGCGCGGCGATGAGTCCCGCGCGCTCTCGCAGCTGCTGCCGTCGCTGCTCGTCCTGGCGGCGCTGGCGCTGCAGGTCCTGGTTGCGCGTGAGCAGGCCGGTGACGGCCATACGCGGCCCGGGCAGCTCAAAGCGGTAGCCGAGCTTGAGCAGCGTGGTGTTCGCGCGCAGCAGGCGCGCCAGCTCGTTCTCTGCGCGCTGGCCCAGCACCGCGCGCTGGTTATGGAAGCGCAGCTCCGTCAGCGTCTCGTTGAACTGCAGGCAGCGCGCCAGGGCCACCACGCCGCGGCCGCTCAGGGCGTTTGATTCCACGTTGAGCGCGCGCACGCTGCGGTTCTCGCGCAGCATGTTGGCCAGTGCGAAGGCCACGCTGTCGTCGGCGCCCACGTTGGCCAGGCTCAGCGTGCGCACGTGCTTGTTCTTGCGCAGCGCGCTGACCAGGTCCAGCAGCATCTCCTTGGGGATGTTCTCCACGTTGTTGAGGTTGAGCTCCGTGAGTTCGGGGTCGTTGGCCCTCACCCGCCTCAGGCTGCCGTCCAGGTCCGTCTGGTTGCCTGATGGCCGCGCACTGACCTTCAAAAAACTGGTGTCTAGCGCCAGCTTCTTGGGGTCCAGTTTGGAGATCTTTTTCTCATTTTTCTCTGGGGCTGTCTGCCGGGTGAAAGCTTGGCTGTTCACCTGTTGGCAGTCACTCTTGCCATTTTGGATTTGCTCCTTTCCTTCCCCACAGACTTCTGTTTTCTCATCACTGTCTTCACCGTCTTCATCTTCATCTTCATCCTCCTCCTCATCTTCTTCACTATTATCCTTTTCTTGGTCACTGTTGCTGTCCTTTGCTTCTCTTTTACTGGCAGCTATTTCACTGTTGAGCCTGTCTTTCAGAAACTGGGACAAATTTGTATTACTTCTATCTCTTTCTTCATGTTGGCCTTGTTTACTCTCCTAAAAGAGAGGTTTGTGAAGGTTAGAATAAGTAACGGTAAAGAAACATTAAATAGAGTATCTACTGGATATGGAAAAACGTAAAGTTTTATTATTAAGTAAAAAAGACAAGTCAATAAACAGTATTCTACAGTATTATTCCACTTGTGTACGTGTATATTCACCTATAAATGCGCAGAAGATAATATAAAAGTGTTAGTCTGGGCAAAGAGAATGAAGAATTAAGAACTCAAATGCTGATGGCCTTGCTTGTTAAAGATAAGAAGAGAAAATGGCCTTGCTTGTCTGGCTGAGCTAGCAGGTGGCTCGTAAATCAGAATGGAATGTCCCTCCCTAAAGACTCTGTTTATAAAAATCCTCCCCAGTAAGTTCACAGTGTGACTTCCCATTCTGCCTCTCCAGGATGAGGAACTCACCCAGGAGCTCCCCTTTCCCCCCTTTTAATAAAGCTGCATTAAGCTTTCTCTCATTTTCTCTCTGATTTCTTCTTTAAGTCCACTAACCTAACCTAACAAAAAGTTCATTTATGTGTGGGGACAAATATTAACTGGATCAATTATTGGCATACTGGGTTTTTCCTAAAGAACAGGGATTAAACACTAAAATTATTATGATCAAAGGAAACACTTGGGCAACTTTCATTTTCTATATTATGTAATGACACAAAGTTAAGAATTCTTTTTACAAAACACATGTAATAATTATTTAAGCAAATCTTCCCAAACTAAATTTATACAAACACACATATTCAAACAGAATTTAGCCCTCATCCTATGTGCTTCAATGAAAACCGAACTAATTTTGTTCAGATACTGTGTTTTATTATGCCATTATTATGCTCCAGGATCGGCAATCTACTGCTATGGGATTAATTGCCTCTGAAAACTGGATAGAGGGTCAGATATGAGTGGGTTCTGACTTGACAGCATATAACAACAAACAACATTAGATAAAAATGGAGCACTCTGGAGTGGGGATTTCCACTGCTAACCCCAAGGTGGCACCTCTCCAGCAGTTTGAATCCACTTGTGGGGGAGAAAGACAGGCAATTGCCTCATATATGATTTAAAGCCTCCAAAAACCTGCTGGAAGTTTGACTAGGCAACCTTCTGACTTGACAGCAATGAGTTTTAATTTTGAGCTCGCTATATATAACCTGCATGAAAAATGGTGTCCAAAACTAAAATTTACATTCCTAAAATGTCTGCTAATCTGGTGGAACATGTCCATCAAATGTTCCTCCAAACAATGTTTTGTGTGGAAAATGAGAACACTCAAATGCTTTTAAGTTTACCACAAACCTCAACTTTTTTTTTCTCCTCAGCTCTATGAAAGCAGCTCTGACTACTCCAGTTTTGTTTGAAGGGCAGTATCTAAGGAGTGGCATCCAATTCCTAAATAACATGCCTCTAGAATCTCTATGAACTTTGATAAATGTCAGTAGTTGTAGAGGGGCTTTGGGCCTTTTGTTCATAGGGTCCTTATGAGTCATGCTCGACTTGAAGACAATCAACAACAACAACAACAACAGCAGCATCTAAAGAGTGGACAGATCTACCTACAGAAGGCAATGGGACTGTGCAGAGAGATTGAAAAACAATTGTTTAGGCTGAGAAGGAAAAGAACAGTCTCCTACCTGACTGTTTATTGTCTTCTTATCCATCAAATAGTGTACTTTTATCTACATGACGTGTGCCTCACAGGTGTTGCTTTGAAAGTCAGTGTGGCAATTTGAGACACAGGGTCATCCAAGCAAGAAACTGATCTTTCTGCTCAGGACTCAGTCTGGGCTGGAATTAGCAGTTGACCATGACAGTAACCACAGCCACATACAGGCCTTGCTGCATTCCTCATCTAACCCAGCAGGGGCAGTGACCATCAGCCATTTAAATTATACTCCAGGAGAAAAAGCAGAGGTCTCCAATTTATTTTCTTTTCTGAAGCTGACTTTTAGTCCCTTGACCTCTAACTAGAAAAGGTCTGAAACTGTACTTTAAACTCAACCTGATGAACCTTTCTTGAACTGAAGGAAGATTTAAACTTTCCTAACCATGAATTCCATTTACAACTTTCTTTAATTATAGTTTGCCTGTTAGTAATATGATGAGATATTTATATCAGCAGGCATAAATCAGACTTTACTTAGGGAGTGCTCCATATTCTTTTCTTAAGTAATTCTTAAGCGAGTCATGAAAAAAGAGAATTTTGATATTCAATAAATTCAGAATTTGAACACAACTGTAGCCAAAAAAATATCAAGATGGGAATGCAATTTGCTATATAAACTTTCATCAAAACCATAAGATTAAAGAAAAAATTAAAACTGCTTAACAGCTCTTCATTTCTGAATGGTATTGCTGATATCCAGTGTGGGCTGGAAATAATTAGGCATTTTTGAAGGTCTAATTTGGTTTCATCACAGAGGTGTGACTGTATGGACTTTGTGGGGCTATGAAATAACTGAAGTGAGGTGTGGAGTACCACATGTGTGGAGTGTGCCAGCAGGAAGGGGCACAGTTCTCAAAGCGCCTGCAAGTCCCAAAAAAAGATAAGAAGGACACATGTTTCTGGATTATCAATTAAGCCACCAAGTGGCATGGTTAAAGAAAGTGGTCTCTTTCATAACAAACAACATATGAATGTTTTAAGAGACATTAATAAGAAATGATCAACTTTCCTCTCACAATTATACCATCTAAGTATTGGGAAAATTCTAGTTCAGAGTAGGGTCAACTATTACATTATATATGTAGGTACATAGATAGGGTCTCTATGAGAAACAGGTGACTCAACAGCACATGACAACAATAACAACAATGTATATGCATACAAAACATACAAACATATATAAAGAACAAAAGGGAAAAGACAACTTTGGCATCCTGAGACATCCCCAGCACAGTAGGACAGTTAGCCGCCCTGCCCCAGGGGAGCCATTCCTGTGTTGGACAGAAAACCCTGATTACCTCCGAGGACACAAAGGTGACAGGAACACGCTCATCTTCCAGCATGCGTCTGGATGCCTTCTGCCAATACATATAATCTACAAGAGATTTATGGTCAAAGTTTCCAGTTGGTGGCTTGTCGGTCTGATCCTTCTGGATCATTCCCACAGGAAGCCTGGGATCGGGCACCATGACTTCCATTTCAGACTGCAGTTCTTTAAGCTCTTTGGGGGACAGGTTGGCCAAGATCTCATCTTCATCAATGTCCTCGCCCAGGGGTTCTTCTTGGTCTGAGTTCTTGCTGTGCTCTGACATGTTTGTTTTTTTTCTAATAGAAAAGAAGGAATAGTCAAAGATAACTTTTTTTTTTAAATCCTCACAAAGGTCCTCCAGTTAACAAGTGTGCAGGGTCACTGCTACCTTGAGACGTCTCCCCCCCAAAAGAACCCGAGAGGTGCTGGCTGAGTGGCGCCGAGTGACCGCAGCTAAGCCCATGCCCGGTCTATATTAAGCAGGGCTGCTTCGGGCAGGTCAATTTATAGTTCTGCTACGCTGCTCTCCTTACGGCAGCTTGACTCAGCTGTGCAAATCTGTCTGACATTTCAATGCAGCTGCTCCCTTACCCCAGTGTGTAACAGGCCTGCAGAGCCGCGGCGGGAAGCTGTGTTCTCTGCCTGTCCATTACCACGCCCAAATCCATGTAGCTCATACATACACGTATCTCAACACTACAGGGAATCTCGCTCCTATGTAAATCATTAGAACAACTCACAATAGTTCAGAAAGGAAATCCAATAAGCAACCTGAGTTTTGCTGAAGGGAAAATTCACCTGGAGGTGGAACTCAAGCTGTCAGAGTGAGGTTCCTTCACTACAGTGTGAACCTGGAAAGAAGTAAAACCAGCAGACACGCTCCACTGCCTTCATCTGCTCTGTAAGTGGATCCTTCGCCAGATGTCCTTATTTGCATCTTGATCCTGTGATCTAGCCTATGGGTACAGTCAGCACTTAAATTTCCAAAGTAAGTGAAGAGTTTCATGTGTTCAATAATTTCTTTTCTGGCTAAGCATCCATTTAACCAGAATAAATAAAAAATTAATTAGAAGTGAAATGTAAAAAAATAAATAAAATCTCAAATCATTAAAGCCTTGTTGTTGTTGTAAGTACCCCATTGAGTAGGAACCGACCCTTAGCTGAGCCTTCGCAGGTTTTAAGAAGCTGTGAATCACATGGGAAGAGATTGCCCATCCTTCTCCCACGATTAAAGCTGTAGGAGACACCATTATATTACCAAATAATACCCAAATTACAAACTGCATACCCTTTGTAATTGTAATTCCACTTTCAGGACTATGTTGCTGTTATTGGGGGTCGTTATGATAACTGAATCATAGAGACTCTATGTCCATCAGCCTTGCCGGACCCTGCACCATCATCATCCTCTCTGTGCTTCAGCCTAGTGTTACAGTCATTGGGCCAAGGCATCCTGTGGGGGACTTCCTCTCCATCTTCTTGTATTTTTCCAAATATATTTTTTTTTGTCAAGGACTGATTCCTCCCGACAATCCTCCAGACAAATTATGTGGAAACTGAATGTATTTTGTATGTTGTGTAATGTCAGGTGAGAACCAGTTCATGGCTGACCCTTGGGTGGGTTCTTAGAGGCTGTAGATCATGTAGGAGAAGATTGTCCAGCTTTTTCTCACAGAGTAGCTGGTGGATTCAAACTACATGCCTTTGGGTGGTCAGTGCATCTCTTTACTACTACGCCATCAACACAGATCATATTAAAACAAAGTACTTGTATGATAAAGGAAGGAAATAATACATGCCAATGTAGACATTTAAACATAAAATATCCTTAAAAAGATAAACAAGAAATTAATACCTTTAAGAACAATTTTGGCTTTAACAAGGAGAAATTTATTTTTCCTTACAGTTTGGGAAGATAGATGTCTACATTCAGGGTGGTGGCTTTATGGCAAAGCCTTTTTGAGAACAGTTCTTGTTTCCTTGGCATCTGAGGGCCTCACACTTCTTGGTAATCTCCACATGCCTGGCTCTTCCCTTTTGTCAAGGAGCTTCCCAGTGCAAGGCCCAGACGACACCCTCCTGTACTGATTTCCTTTCTTGGTGCTACTGAGGGACCCCAAGGGCACAACTTTCAGAGTGAGAAACAGGTTATCTTGGGACAGCAGCCAACAACCTACTGATGTCCAGATGATTCCAACGCATGTCTCCCCGGCGTGGTCAGAGGAGGTGAGCTGCTGAGAGATTTCAGAAGCCCATTACAGGTCTTTCTTCCAATGTGCCTCGACATGAGTTCAAACTACCAATTTTTTTGTCATCTGTTGTTATGAGCTGTCAAGTCACTTGCAACCCATAGTGACCCTGTGTACAGCAGCTATGAGTCTGTCCCTGTCCTAAACCAGTCTCACTGATTCCGACACACCAACCCCCATTACTCCAGTTACCGTACCAATCCAACTCAACCAGGGTCTTCCTCTCCTGTGCTGTCCTTCCACCCTTCCAAGCATGAGGTCCTTCTCCAAGGACCAGTCCCTCCTGGCCACATGCTCAGAGTATGTGAGATGGAGCTTTAAAATCCTAGCCTCTATCACCCCAGACACAAAAATCAACTCCAGGTGGATCAGAGACTTGGGAGTAAAGCCCCAAACCATAAAGTTCATGAGAGACAAACTGGGATCAAGCATAAAAGCCCTAGAATACGGTATAAAGAGACTGCCAAATATAGCCAGAAAGGCACAATCTCAAGAGGTTAAAATTGATGAATGAGACCTTCTAAAGATTAAGTCACTATGCACATCAAAAACTTTTTCCAACAGGGTGAAAAGAGAACCTACCAACTGGGAACAAACATTTGGCAATGCCATCTCAGTCAAGAGTCTCATAATGAAAGCTTATAGAATACTCCTGGGCCTCCGTAAGAAAAAGGCTGATAACCCAATTATAAAATGAGCAAAAGACACAGAAAGAATTTTCACTGAGAAAGATATTCGGATGGCCCACAGACACATGAAGAAATGCTCTAAATCACTGGCAATAAGAGAGATGCAAATAAAAACCACAATGACATACTATCTCACTCCAGTAACAGTAGCAAAATTTAATAGAACAGCAAGTAATAAATGTTGGAGAGAATGTGGCAAGATAGGAACTTTTATACACTGTTGGCAGGATTGTAAAATGGTACAATCATTCTTGAAGAGAGTTTGGTGCTTCCTTGAAAAGTTGAACATAGAAATCCCATATGACCCAGCTATTTTACTGCTTGGAAAATGACCCGAGAAAATGATAACTGAAGCACAAATGGAGACTTGTACATCAATGTTCATAGCAGCATTATTCACCATTACAAGAACGTAGAAGCAGCCCAGATATCCAACTACAATTGAATGGATTGAGAAATTATAGGACATTCATACAATGAAATACTATGCAGCATGCGGGAGCAATGATTTTGTAAATTATTACCTAATTTAGGAGGGACTGGAGAGCATTATGCTGAGTGAACCGACTCAGTCTCACAGGACAAATATTGTATAAAACCATTACTGTAGAATGAGTATGAAGATCCAAGGCAAGGGGAAGGTGGAAACAGAGAGATGAGGTTGTGTGAGGGGGTGGTATTAATCATGGGGTTGTATAGTTTGATGGGGGTGAGGAGTGAGGAAAATTGAAAGAATCTAGTCTGAAAAACAATGGATTAGAATTTTGTGAATAAATCAGTATAAATTAAAAAATAATAATAATCCTAGCCACTCTTCTCCGGTACCACAACTCAAAGGCATCAATTCTTCTGTCATCCTTAGTCATTGCCTAGCAAGTAATTGTGAAGACCATAGCCTGGGTTAGGCACACCTCAGTCTGTAGACTTAGTCTGTAGACTGACATTGTTGCTTCTCAGTACTCTGGAGAGGTCCCTGACAGCAGATTTACCTGATGCAATTCATCTTTTGATTTCCTGATTGCTGGTGTAAATAGTGTTGATTGTGGAGTTGAGCAAGCTGTGATTGTTAACATCCTCAATCTCTTCTCCATCCATCATGGACAATTAATTGGTCCAGTAGTGAGAATCGTTGTCTTCTTGATACTGAGCTTCAATCGATATTGAAGACCACAGTCCTTGACCTTCTGCAGCAAGCGCTTCAGGTCCTCTTCAGTTTCAGCAAGTATGGTTATGTCATCTGCATAACGCAGATTGTTGATGAGTCTTCCTCCAATCCTGAGGTCACATTTCTCTTTATAAAGCCCAGCCTCCCAAATGATCTGTTCTTCATATAGATTGAAAGGTATGTGCTTGCTTCAACTACTTATATACTAAAATTGGAACGATACAGAGATTAGCATGGCCACTGCACAAGGATGACACACAAATTCATGAAACATTTCATAGGAAAAGGAAAAAGAAAAAAGAAGAGGTAAGGAGACATGACACATCCCTGACACACTCCCTTCCTGATTTTGAACCATGAAGTGTTTCCCTGCTCTGTTCTGAGGACTGCTTCCCTGGTCCAAGTATAGGTTTCACATAAGTACAATCAAGTGCTCTGGAATTCCTATTCTCCTCAAGGTTAACCACAATTTTTTTGTGATCTACACAGTCAAATGCTTTTGCATAATCAATGAAACACAGATAGATATCCTTCTGGTACATTTTGCTTTCTGCCAAGATCCATCTGACATTGATAATAATGTCACCAGTGCCAAGGCCTCTTCTAAACCCAGCTTCTATTTCTGATAGTTCTCTGTTAATGTACTGTTCCAGGGATCTAGGCCATCAGCTGCTCCAAAGGAGAAGGATGGGCAGTCTCCTCCCGTGTGATTAAATGCCTCTGAAAACCTGACTCAGGGTCAGCTTTGGGTTGGTTCTGATGCTACAGAACACAACAACAACATATATCTATGTATACACACATATGTTATTGTTATTGCTATGTACAGTTGAATTGTAAGCCACCTATAGCTGATACTCCAGTAGGTTTTCAGAGGTAGTAAATAGCATGAAGATTGCCCGTCTTTCTCCCATGGAGCAGCTGGTGGACTGAGCTACATACCTCCGCACCACAGCTCCTTACCTACCACTAGGCCACCAGAGCTCCCAAACACATGTGTATCTATTGTTATTGATGCTATGTACAACAGCCCTGAGACCTGCCCTATCCTGAGCCAGTCTCACTGATTCTGACACACCTACCCGCATTGCCCTGTATCAATACTGTATCAATCCATCTAAGCCAGGGTCTTCCTTTCCTGCACTGTCCCTCCACCCTCCCTAACATGATGTCCTTCTTC